CCACCCGACCGCCGGGGGGGGGGGCGTGCGTGCGTGCGTGCGTGCCCACGTAAGGAGGGACTTGCGCGTAGGCACGCTGGCGGCGGGGGTGGGGTGACGTCACCGCGTCGACGCCTCGGCGTCCGTTCCTTGAGTATGCAAATGCGCGGCGGAAGTGAGGCGTCAGAGGGCGGGGCCGTTAAACGGCCGCTCGTGGGAGCGTGGCCCGAGGCCCAGTCCCGACGTGCTGGCGTCACCACGCTCTTGCGTGATGTCACGCACGGGATCGGCTTCCCTGCCCATAGGAGGCGGCGTGCGTCCCGCGCGCAGCGTCCTCCGCGGGCTGGCGCTCCCCGGGGGGCGGGCAGACTCACCGCGCAGTCACACGGGCCGCTGTACTCACTCTCTGAAGCTGGAGGAGTGACTCAGACCCTCAGGAAATCAGTTCTGTTTTTTTTTAATTATTTTTTTTCCTATTTTTTAAAAAGCAGGGTCTCGGGGGCTGGAGAGAGTCGGCTCAGTGCGTAAGAGCACGGGCTGCTCCTCCAGAGGACCTGGGTTCGATGCCCAGCACCCACCTGTCCGTCACTCCTGTTCCAGGGCTTCTGACACCCTCACGCAGACATACATGCAGGCAAGACACCAGTGAAAATAAAGTAAATTATTTTAAAAATTATTTTTTTTTTAAAAAGAAGCTGCGTCTCAGATCGCCCAGCCTGGCTCTGAACTCACTGTGTAGCCAGGGCTGGCCATGGAACTCCTGATCCTTCTTTGTCTTGCCTCTGAATTTTTTTTTTCCCCCCGTGATTGAGGATGGACCCCAAGACATTTCCCATGCTAGGCCCCTGGCTCCAACACTGAGCAGGACTCCAGATCCTCACTGGGGGGATTCTAGGCAAGGACTGCTGAGCCATACCTCAAACCTGTCACCGGGTGGCTCTGGGCAAGGTGAGTTGTATCCTCAGCTTTCTGTGTGAACCCTGAGTTTCACCCTCACACAGGAAGTGACGCATGTGCAGATGTTGGGATCGTGCGAGCCCCACAGAAGAAGCCCTCACTGCCATGTGTGTATTAGTGGTATTCTCTAACTCCAGCCTAAATGTGCTCTGTAGCTAATCCATCCTTTTCCCAAGTGACTAACCGGAAAGACCGGGGCCGTAAGGACGGGTGACCCACGGCCATTGGTTCTGAAGCAGCCCCACTTCCTCCCGTGGAGGGTAGGCATCCCCAGGGAGCTGGCTCAGGAAGGAACTTTAAGGACATGTCCCAGACTGTCCTCCCTTACCCAGCAGGGAGCAAAATCATATAAACAAAGTCAGGACTGAGCTGAGAGAAATTCCTGGAGGGTGGCGTGAGGATGGGTAGCTGGGGACAGGAAGGGACAGGAAGGCATAGGAGCAGACGGGTGGTGTCTAGCAAGAGGGGACACATAGCGGGGGTGGGGTGGGGGGGTGGGGACCCTGGATCTCTCCCTGAGTGTCTTTGGTCAACTTCCCACACCAGGGGACCAACACTTTATATCGACAGCGGCTGGGCCTGGGTCACCACCCATTGTCATCTGTTTTGATGACAGGAGGCTGAGGCAGGAGGATGGAATGTTCTAGGTCAGCCTGGACTACATAATTAATTCAGGGTCAGGCTGGGCAACTCAGTGAGCCCTAACTCAAAATAAAACGTACAAAAATAAAATAAGATCTACGTCAAAGAGGCTAGGGTGTAGCTGTATTCAGTGAAGTACTCGTCTAGCTTTTGCAAGACCCTGGGTTTGATGCCCACTACTGGACAGAAAGGGTGTACTTTTCAGGGTTCTCTAGAGTCACAGAACTTATGGAATGAATATATATATATATATATATATATATGAATTTATTGGAATGGACTACAGGCTGCAGTCCAGCAATGGCTAGTATGGATGGAAAGTCCAGGAATCTAGTAGCTGCTCAGTCCCACAGGCAGGGTGGGTGTCTCAGCTGGTCTGCTGGGACCCTGAAGAGGGAACAGTTGTGCTGCTGAGGCAAGGGCAAACCCTTCTTCTTCCATTGTCCTTACATAGGCTTCCAGTAGAAGGTGTGGCCCAGATAAAGGTCTGGATTGAAGGCCTGTGTCTTCCAGCCTCAAGGTCTGGCTGGATCAAAGCCTTGTTGTCTGCTTGCCTCAAGATCCGAATCACAAGTGTGCCCTCCATTTCTGGATTCTAGTTCATTCCAGTTAAAGGCAAGTTGACAACTGAGAATAGCCAAGACAAGGGGAGACCATGTATGACCCAAATGTCTAAATGATGAAGAATGTCCAGAATCTTGAAAAACAACTCTTCCAGAATCCCTTCTGAAAATGTGCGGTTGGATGAGGTCCACCATCTGCTTTGGACAGCATCTTCCCATTTATTTTCATTTTGAATTATGTGTGTTTGTGTGTTCCTGTGTGTGGAGTGTGTGCGCATGAGTACAGTGCCCCTGGAGGACAGAAGAGGGCATTGGAACCCCTGGAGCTGGAATTAGAGGTGTGTGAGCCACCTGAAGTGGCCCCGGGAATGGAATTGGGGTCCTCTGAGAGAGCAATACATTAACCACTGAGCCATCTCTCCAGAGCCCCCTCTTCCCATTCTACAGACTTGCCAACTGAGGCCCAAGCTTCCATGGGTAATCAGGGTGGTGACACTGGGGTTTCTTTAGTCCCAGCCCAGGGTCATCTTTTGTTTCATTTTTTGTCTTTTGAGACAGGGTTTCTCTTGGCTGTCCTGGATCTCACTCTGTAGCCCAGGCTGGCCTCAAACTCAGAGACCACCAGCCTCTGCCTCCCGGGTGCAGGGATTAAAGGCGTGGGCCTGGGGAGTTCTGGGAACACAAGTCTGCACCCCATGCAGAGACACCTCCATCTCCTGCCCAGACGGGTGCTTCCTGAGTCCATCACCCTCCACTCCTCTCCCCTCGTCAGGCCTCCTCTTCCGTTCTCTGAAGGGTTCTCTGGGACTTCTGGGATGGGGATGCGTGTGTGTGTGTGTGTGTGTGTGTGTGTGTGTGTGTGTCTCTGTGTGTCTGTGATGTATGTGTGTCTGTGTGTCTGTGATGGATGTGTGTGTGTGATGTGTGTGTCTGTGTGTCTGATGTATGTATGTGTGTGTGTGTCTGTGATGTATGTGTGTGTGTGTCTGTGATGTATGTGTGTGTGTCTGTGTCTGTGATGTATGTGTGTGTCTGTGATGTATGTGTGTGTGTCTGTCTGTGATGTATGTGTGTGTCTGTGATATATGTGTGTGTCTGTGATATATGTGTGTGTCTGTGATGTATGTGTGTGTGATGTGTGTGTGTGTCTGTGATGTGTGTGTGTGTCTGTGATGTATGTGTGTGTGTCTGATGTATGTGTGTGTGTGTGATGTATGTGTGTGTGTGTCTGTGATGTATGTGTGTCTGTGTCTGTGATGTATGTGTGTGTGT